GGGCCGAATTGTCACCTGTGATGAAAAATGGGTCATGTATGATAACAGGAGACGTTCCGGACAGTGGTTGGATTTCGACGAACCACCGAGGTAATTTTCAAAGCCGAACCCTCACGAAAAAAAGATTCTGGTCACGGCTTGGTGGTCATCGGCTGGTGTGATCCACTATAACTTTTTATCACCAGGATTGCGGATTGCAAGTTACAGTTGGCGCAGCAGCCGCCGCAGCTGTGAATTTAAGGGTGTACGGTAGCGGCAGTGAGTACGCAATTGCACGGCGTGATTGGTGGTATTTATAAATAACATCTTTTGAAGGTACGCGGAATAATGGAATCGAAAGAAACTGAGTGTTCTATCTGCTGCAAGCACTTGAGAAAAAAATCTTCTTGAACACCTGCGTTCAGTGCACAGTCTATCGCCACTTAGTGCCAAAGAGGTGGCAAAGGAAAAAGAACTGGTCTGCAAAGCCAGGGAAAAAAGCAGAAACCTGCAACGAGTGTGGAAGTATCTTCTCGACTAAGAGGGGTCTGCGACTGCACTTCAACTCGAAGCATAGCTCAGCATTGTGGGAAAAACCACGAGCACGATGGCGCCATGGGGAGACCTCAAGACTACACAATCCACAAAGTTTCCTTCAATAGCTCTGAAGAGTTTAAGGTCAGTATTTGGCAAAATATTCAAAAAGTGAGAGTTTGTGGACGGGAAGTCATGTTCAGGAGTGGTCGAAAAGATGTGCGACAATTCCTGCACGTCCTTTTTTGCCAATCCAGTAAAGAAAATGGAAAAAAAAGTGAAAATGCGGTTTGCTTTTGCATTCTATTGACTGTGCAAAAATATAGGAATATTAAGATTCGTGCAGGTGCAATAGATGTGGTGAGTCCAGCTCACAAGGGGAACAACGTATTCGTCCTACCAAGAAGCTCAACCTCTACTTGCTTCAGCATTTATGAACGTGTGTTACAATGAGGATTCCACCGTGAGCGTAGTGGCTTGCTTCGGCCACGTCGGCCATGAACTAGACCCAGCATTACTACGCTGGACCGATGAACAATTAGAGTATCTTAAATTAATGATCGAAGGTATTTTACGATACAAGTGGAAACGCTTCGTTATCCGTTCTCTTCAACTATTGCAGAGTTCTCCGCTGACTACATCGTGCAAAAATTAAGAAAAGACCATGCATCCAAGAAATCCAAATTGTATTTTATTACGAAGAAAGACCTCTGGAACGTTATGACCAAATACAATCTGACGCCTGGAATGCGTGATCAAGACGACATCACTTCGCTAAAAATGCGAGAAGAAGGAGAAGAATCCTGAGGACGGGATTCGATACTTCAAGCCACATGACGAACCAACCGGAAAGGGATTCATCTTAGGTTTGTTTCAGCCGAAACAAAAGAACGCTTTTTCTGATTGCAGTTTTTTGCAGTCATTATCACCCCACTGCAGCTTAAATGGTTGCGGCAATTCGGTCAAAAAGGTATATCAGTCGATGATACCCACAATATCACGAGGTATGCGCTGAAGCTTGCAACGATAATGGTAGTAGACGACCGCGATCGTGGGCTTCCGGCAGGTATAAAGATTTTTATCCACGTTCTTGTCTGCGATGTTTTGAATTCAGCTTTTTTGTTGTCCGCTGAGATGACATCGAATGAGGTGAAGATTCTTTTTGATGAAATTAAGCGGGTAGTACCTAATTTTGCCCCAAAGTCATTGGTATCAGACGAGTCCTTGGCCTTCTACAATGGCTTCACATCGTCGTTTCCGGGCCGCAGCGTAGATCACTTTTTATGCAGATTCCACATTCTCCAGTCCTGGAAACGAAAGACAAAAGAATGTGTCAAGGTAAACCTTCAGTTCCGAGTAAATTGCACCTTTTTCACATAATATTTCAGCCGGAGCTTCAAAAAGGCATCGTAAGTGCCTTTAGAAAACTACTTCGTATTAGCAACGAACCCGAGTTCCATGCTAACCTTAGCGAAATATTAACACATCTCCGTCTTAATGGCTGTACCCGTCTCATACACTACCTTCAGAGGGAATATCTTTGGTAGGGATAAACTTTGCTACTCGATCTACCACCTACGATCCATATTTTCACTTTAAGGACCAGCAGAAAATAAGGAAGTAGGCAGCTTTTGAAAGAAAAGATGTCATCATGAGTACCTCAATGTTCACAGGAAAGGTGGCTCCTACGACTTAAACAGGAAAAGCGCAAAAGAAAAGCTAATTCTAGAATTGATTTCGTCGTCGAAACGTTGATTAGGGCTGTCAATGAACTAGCCGTTGATCTTCGAAGTCAAGGTGAGGCTTCAGCTTAGTCAGTGAATGTGCATAGTTAAACCTAGTGTAGCGAGTAAAGCGTTCTAGCGGAATCTTCCGTACCAAGTCCTAGTCGATTTGTCGTGGAACTGGTCCGCTGTTCCGGGTCAAATGGCTGATGAATACCCTCCTAGCTTGCGCTAGAGCGCTATACTAGCATTAGGATTTAGCGATTCATGCCCCACGGCAGTACTCTAACAGCACATGTTTAGGACCGTAGGAAGCTTTGCGCCTTCTTTCCGGGTAAAGGAGAATAACGTGCAACATAAATTGGGAGTCCAATTTTACAAAGAAAATAGGGATAAAATTCATAAGGTAGGAACCTTAGCTTGGAACGTGGAAGCGACGACATCCCACACAGTGTATCGTGTGGAATCCAAAGAAGAATGTGCATGTAATTACCAGGTTAGTTACTAGTACATGACCGCACAGCACAAAGTGATTAAGGCTAGAACACTTTCAGGTCAACAATCACTGTCCAAGATGTCATGTGTGCCCCTACGCTGTTTCATGCTCTTGTAGCGATGGGGCCCTCGCAGGTATCGCATGCTTACATAGCCACGCGGTTAAACTTTATGGTGAGAAAAACAATTGTTCGATATTCAACGTACGTCAAGTCAGGGTTCAATCTCTCTGGTTTCAGGAGCCAATTCGGAATCAACTTCTGAAGCAGTCTTGCAAGCAGAATCGCTAGCCTTCGAGAAACAGAATTCCGAAGTAAATGTCAGATCTTCGCGAGACCGTCGTGGGCAATTACATGCGATCCGTGATGATGTTGCAAAGGCACCTGCGATATCCTGCGGTATAACCTAGCTTTTACTGGACGTTATTTTTTTCAAAGTATCTCACTGTTGCTGCATGTGAACCCTTTCAGAGCTATGGCATGGTTTTCGCAAAGGTGAACGCTTTGGTAAGACAGGGAGACGATGACGCTCTAGAGGCCCTTTCAAGAGTCGCAGATCGAATGCGTATCCTTGCTGATGATATCGATGTTCCGCTTGGATCGACCGCAATTTTGCCTAGGCCTGATGTCTCTAGTGGAGGGAGACCGAAATTGCAAAAAGCAGAACTTTATACGGTACCGTTTCCATTATTCGTTTTAACAAGCACGGGATCTTTACTCCTAACGAATATGTTATTGCAGAGAGCACGTATTCGAAAGCAAATGAGGAAGATCTCTCAATCAGCAGAAGACCTGCGAATAGACCCGGAGGAGATCCTTTTCTGTTCTCTCTGTTTTGAAGAACACCCCGAACTTCCTGAGGACATGGACCCCGATGAACCAGATGCGAG